GCTTGTCTCCTGGACCCAGGGGTCCTGACATACTTCTTACAGATTGTGTGTCTGGTGTGGCACTCGGAATCTCACCAGATACCTAACATCATCAGATATGTTCTCTTAAGTTCAATAAATTTTTAACGTTAAGTTCAATAAATCGAATAAATTCATAAATAAAAGAAAACAAAGAAAGAAATTTACAACACACTTGCCCACAGATCGTGTGTCTGGTGTGGCATCTCACAAAATACCTAAGATCAATTACGTTTTGAGAAGTTCAATAAACTCATAAAACAAAACAAAGAAAAGATTATGACATAAAAAGGCATTTCCCTAGTCCAATAAGATTTTGAAGTTTCAAATAAAGGAATTACAGACATAAAAGGCATTTCCTTTGAAGGAAATCCAAAGGCATTTCCTTCATTTAGTAAGAGAAGTGTAAAACAAAAAGTGGCTTTCACGGGACACAATCTTTACATGAGGGAGAATAATTTAACAGAGTCAGAACAACTAGTCCTTTTCATTCCTTTGCAGTAACAGTTTTTTAAAGTATTAATTCCTGATAACTTCAAAGAAATAATCATACAAACTTCATAAAAAAAATGCACAAGTATTAAAGAAAGACCAAGCTAAAAAATAAGGATAGTTGTACATTTTTGGTTCCTACCATAATCAAAAGGAAATAAACGAAGCTTCTAGTGTTTGCTTCAGTAGATATTTCACAGCAAAGCAGTTGCAGATAAATTATTTGAGTATAGATCTTTGTATTTAGTTAGCCTTTTCGACAAAAATGAAAGATGTACAACATGGATGGCCCTTTGGAGTTCCTTCACACTCTACAGGATCTATAGGATACTCTGTTATTTTTAATAACCGCACTTTATACGTATCAGCACTCTCTATTGCTGTATCAATAAAACCTTGTTATTTATCATAGAAAAACGAAGAAGGAAAAAAAAATTGTTCACGGGCCATTTTTAAAAAACAAAATTCATGAGCCAACAGAACAATGATACAAGTAATGTACAAGCCCCTGATGTATGGTGGATGATGAAGATAAAAAATTAGGCATAGATTCAAAAGCAGAATCTGAAAACAATATTTTTTGAGATTCTGATAGAAGCTACCATGCACAGGACTAATATTTTTTGAGAGCCTTATTTAACTTCAGTACATAATATTAGGAGGGAAATGCAACCTAGCCACCAGAGCAAGTGAAGCAACATTACTTCATCAAAACTAAAAGGTGTAACTGAACAGTGACCTTGATAGCTTCAAGAGTTGTAGCGTCATTTACCATATTAAGACATATTTGAAGTATAGTAACATAATGTACAATCATGAAGGACGAGATAAGCAAATTTTGTCACTTACAGACTGCCCATTTGTGAGAAGAGGGATTGGGTGCTGAGGGTCGTGTCTGGAGGATGAAGACAACGAAACATCTTCTCCCTGCCACTGGCGTCTGGCCTTGCTATTGCCTTGCGCATAATTGAACTCATTGTCGATGTCATCAACATCATCTTCATCATCATCTCCATCCACTCGTGGACACCCTAATATTTGCACAACCAATTAGCTAATGTTCATCTTAGATACAGAAATAATAACTCAAATGAAGCAGGAAAAGAATCTTAGACAACTTATTCAGGAAATCTCACCCTTATGTCTCTTGTATCTTGTCTTGCACTGGGGACATGATTGATTTCCATCTTTGCGTTCATACTCGTAACAAGACCGGCAAACAGGAAATGCGCACTCATTACAAGCAACAAAGACATCACCAATGGCATTCAATCCGACAGTATCGCCACAAATTTGGCAAATCTGACTGTTCAGAGGCTTAATGGGTTTCGGCTGCATTCACAACAATCAATTAGAACAAACAGGAATGCAATGAATTGAACAATAAGTGCCCACAAACCTACTGAAGTTTCAATTGTACATTAATTGAATTCAGAGGCTGATTTTGGAAGGACAGTATTCGCAATCAAGTATTAATCAGATTCAACCATTTGGTGATCAGTGTTGTATCAAGTAACCTAAAACTAAGGATAAAGCATGCCTATCTTTCTCCAAAGTTTGCCTTTTTTTTCCAGAGAAAATTATGTTGAAACATATAAAAATTGACAGCAAAAAGGTGAAAACCAATGAGATCTATCCTAGCAATGTCGGGACACATTTAGTACACCTTAAATGATCAAAATTGCAACAAAATCAGATCAAGCTCAACTATGAAAATACCCTATTAAACAACTACTAAACTCGAAAATACATCAATCTCCAACTGAATCACATAAAATCCTGATATTGACCTATAGCTCAGTCTACACTTGAACCAAGACTCAATGTGTAACCAAATTCAAGCAAATTTGCGAATTTAGATTCTCAAGAAAACAAATCTGAACACTGGCCCAACACCAACAATGTTTCACTGTTACTTCATCAAAAAGAAAACTAATCTGAACACTTAAAATTCAAGATGATCAACTTCTCTATCCCAATTCAGCTCAACGATCCCAACCTTTTACAATATCTCACTGCTACACACTCACACATTAGATCTGAACACCACATTCAATTGAAATTTATTAGAATATCAGGAACTGAAAAAGCAGAAGGAAAGATCCTAACTCCCACTATTACACATTTACACATTAGATCTAAACGCCACATTAGACTAAAAAGAGAATAAAGAAACATGCTTTTAACTGAAAATATCAAAAGGGTAGTTTCCAAAAGCATACCCCACTATCAGAGTCATGGCGAATTCGAACCAATTCATTCCTCTTGTGTGATCCAGCAACCATTCCTGCACTTGCCTCCATTTCTCTCTAACTTCTGGGGGGTTTAATACATGAAAGATCAAGGGGAAATGGAAAAGGATATTTGGGTATGACAGTCAGCTATGAAGCAGCGGAGCATTTCTTTGCTTCTCTGCCAATCAACTGGTCATCACTACTTGTGATATACACTTACTACGCTTTCTGTTTTATTTATTTTTTCCGGAAATTAGTTTTTGTTGGAAGTCTTGATTTTTGTATTACATTATTATGAGGATTTTTAACCGCCTTGACCGGTTCCCTTGAGCCGCCGGGTATTTTAGCTACAGCGACCATACATTTCCAAATTCATTTTAAAAATTTTTATTTGGGTGAATTTGACATTAGTTTTTAAAATATATTTTTTTTAAAAAAAAAAAACCATGAAACATGATTTATAATCACAAGTTCTAAAAATTATCACAAATGCCTAATAGTACCCTCATCAATGATATTGATTATATTATTACAAACCATAGTCCTAAACATAAATAAATTTGGTATAAAATTATTATTTTTATAATAAACTACATAATACACTATCATATGACGACAAAGAAGACGAAGCAACACTGTTATAAAATAATAAATGATGGGCTCGACTGTTAGATCTTGACTGGCTGGGAAAGCAAACAAGGTAAAAAGAGGAAAAGAAAAAGAAAAGTTAACTTTCTGTTTACCGTTTCACTAGGAAAAAGAAGTTTGTGAATGTTTAATATTATTGAGTAAAAATCAGAAAACCAGTATTGCACTAGTACATCTTTAATTCACTATTTTAATATTTTATTTGAAGTTCAAATACTGAATCTCATCATTTTCATTAGAAAGAATTAAAAGAAAATATACATAACTTTACACCATAATAAAAAATGACCTATGTTTTAAAGTTTTACCCTATCTAATCCATATTGTACATATTGTTTTCACTCTCTCTTCTTCTCACATCTTCTACCTATGCTTTAAGGGGCAAAATATTTTCTGCTTCTTCCCCTGTGTCACCTGGTTACAGTGTAAGAAAATTGAAAAGTAGAAGTCCACCATTGAAGGCCATTCAAAGCTTTGCTTTGGAAAATATGATTTTTTGAGTTTGTTAGTTGTTTGGATTAAGTGTTGTTCCAATTGATTGCAAATATCAAAAGGAGTTTAAGATTTAAATTTGAAGTGATTTAGAGTAGATTTGAGTTAAATTTCAGAAAAGATGCAATGAAGAAGACGAAGCATCGCATGGCTTCTCCATAGGACCTAATGTTACAATTATTTTCACTGCAATATTTTGTATAATAGTGTATATGAGTGTATAAACACATCTTATACACTTTTATACACCTCTATACAAACGTCTGTAGATGAACTTCTTCCACGATTTTCAGCTGCAATTCTTGTTCAAAACCAGTCCAAATCTTCATTAGATGACTTCAAATTTTATATACAACCTCCTTATACTATTTCTAACAAGTTTAAATAATACCCACTCCAAAATTCTCACGAAATCAAATTTGGAATTTAAACCCACATATTTAAGTTTATTAAAAATCTAATTTTCACTACCCAAGTGGATTTGGTTTGTTGAACTAATATTTGAATCACAGTTAATGATTCGAAAGTTAACTTAAAAACTTGAGCAATGTTTTCTAAAAATTAAATAGTAATTTCGCGAACCTATTGGAGTTGAATGTTGAGTATTAGCTTATTATTTTTGGGCTAGTTAGTTGTAAATTAAAATATGGGCTATAAAATTGAAAAGTAGGGAGTCCAGTTGTTCTTATGTGAAATTTTCCCCTTTCATTTCTAGGGTATTCATTAGTTGTAGATACTCATAACCAAATTAATGTTAAAAATACTCATGATTGAATTAATATTCTAGATATTAAAGCTTAGTAATTTAAAAGACAATAACAACTACAACATATCCAGTATAATTCACACAAGTGGAGCCTGGGGGTAGTGTGTACGCAGACCTTACCCCTACCTGGCGAGGTAGAGAGGCTATTTCTAATAGACTCTCGGCTCAAGTAATTTAAAGGAAAAAACAATATTTGATATCCAACAACATGAATGTATCACGATCCGAAATCCCAATCGCGGGACCGTGATGGCGCCTAACATCCAATTGCTAGGCAAGCCAAAATTAGTACACAACCAATCATTTATAAACCAATTTGAAAGCAATATAATAAGAATTAAAGCTGAAAATTTTCAAAATAAATATAATAACTCAAAAACGCTGACTAGCCACGGAATCTAGTGTCACAAGTACATGAGCATACTATAAGTGCTACGACCAATGTCGGAATAAAATACAACTGTTCGAAAAAATATAAACATTAAAGCTAGAAAAGGAAGGAAACTTCAGGGACTACAATCGTCGTGCAGGTCTACCTCAAGTCTCTAGATATAGATATGATCCGAGCAAAAACACTGCTAGACACTGCTGGGACCAATACCAAAATCTGCATAAGAAGTGAAGAAGTGTAGTATGAGTACAATCGACCTAATGTATTCCGTAAGTGCCGAGCCTAATCTCAACGAGGTAGTGACGAGGCTATGATAAGACACCTACTAAAATTCTGTGTAGATATATACATAAAGCAACATAAATAACAAGTAAAATATTTAAAATAATAACGGTAAGGGAACATATAGAAAGGGAGTAAGACCAGAACAGTACATACAAAATCACCAAGTATCCTCTTTTCCGAATAAACAACGATGTAGCCAAGTAAATTTACAAATTCGGAAACCAAGTAAAAGCAATGATCATCAAATGGCATGGCATCACCCTTCATACTTTTACTCTCATCCTCACCATATGATATGATAAATGAAATAAATACGGTATCACCCTTCGTACTTTTACTCTCTTCCTCACATGATATGATAATGATATTAAGGCAATCAAGTGCATGGCATCACCCTTCATGCTTTAATCCTCACAATAACTCAATCAATGATAACAATATGTAAAATAAGGCACGAAAACACCCTTCGTGCTTTTCGCTCTTCCTTACCAAGCAACAACAATAATCCAAAGTATCAATGCAAGGTGGGAAGCAAATTTCAACTCCAATCGTGGTGTTATGATAAGTAAATTCAACTTCTGACATCCCAATAACTTCAAATTAATCAATAAGCACGAACACGAACAATCAAAGAACTACAATCTAACTAAAGCACAGAAGGCATGGTAAAAAAAGTAACATGGTACAATAAATCAATTTCCTCCCACATGCTTTAACCCATGACGACGTATATATACTTGTCACCTTGCATATACATAATCTCTATACGTAATTCACGTAGTAAATAGACCAACAAGTCATAATTCTCTCAAGTCAAAGTTAAACATGATACTTACCTCACTCTGCAACCAATTCAATCAATCAACCACGACCTTTCCTTTCGAACAAGCCTCCAAACCAACCGAATCTAGCCAATTATCGATCAAACAATTCAAAATAAACTTTAGAAACTACCCACGAATGAGAAGGGTTCAATTTTGATCATTTTTTAAAAAGTCAATCCCGGGCCTGCTTGGTCGAAATCCGAGATTCGGACCAAAATCTGATTACCCATTCACCCCCGAGCCCGGTTATACGCTTTGTTTCGAAATTAGGCCTTAATTTGAGGTCTAAATCTCAATTTTACAAAATCCTAATTTCTAACATAAAATGCAAAATTTTGATTTAAAAACTCATGAAAAGTAGCGGGAAATTGATGAAAAATGAATTTAGAGTTGCTTACCGATGAATTTGGGAAGAAATAGTTCTTCAGAAATCGCCTCTAGAGTGTCCGGGGTTGAGAAATGGTGTTAAATGAGCCAAGTCCCATTTTCCCCCTCTTTTACCTAGTTGTAGGTGTCGCATTTGTGAACACTTGTTCGCAAATCCGATGCCCTCAAATGTGATACATTAATCGTAAATGCGATCAGTGCATTAGACCACCAAGCATCACAAATGCGAGGAGTCCCTTCATCGCAAATGAGAGCTAAGCTTCCCATTTGCAAAGCTGCCAGCCCCTAGCTCCAAGTCACAAAAGCGACTCAAGGGCGCAAATGCAAACACCAGTGTCTGCATGTCACGATCCAAAAACCGACCCGGTCGTGATGACGCCTATCGTAAAACTAGGTCAGCCGACATAATTCTCGAATCAACCACTATTCAATATAAGTCATTTTTATACCATTTATTAATCAATAATCTCATGATGTAAGTCTAAATGAACAGTGCAGAATAAATACACAAGCCCGACATCGGGGTGTCACTAGTCATGAGCATCTACTACAACTGTCTAACAACATCAAGAGCAATATGGCCGGGAAAATCACAAGAATACATTAAGGAAGAATAAGGAGGGAGAAAAGTAGGGCTGCGATCGCCAGACAGCTACCTTGGTAACTCTGATGAACCTGCCACCGAGCTCAGAAATACTTGAATCTACACATAAGGTGCAGAGAGTAATTTTAGTACGCCAACTCAGTAAGTAATAAAAGTAAATAAAGACTGAGTGGTAAGAAATCACGTAAACCACGCCATAGCACCACAATGGGTACAGTATGTTTCCAAAACAGGATATAAATCAAATCATCTTGTCAAATTCCAATTTCTATAAAATCCTTTGGAAAATGTCTTTCTAGCCATTTCAGTAGAGGTTCAATGTAATTTATAGTGAAAGTGATGCAAATCATAATCGGCCCCTCGGGCAAAACATAGTTCGTTTACGGTTCCCCGGCAAACAGGAATTCATAAACATCTCATAACTTAAAAATCTCAGTGGAAATAACCAAAACCCAATCGGTGATTAAATTCCGAACATCTCGTAAAAACACTAGTTTAAACGAAAGTTGTTTCAAACATTTGTTTAACATTTTCAATATAGGCTCAACATAAAGATGAGTGAAATCAGTAATTTAATTAGCATATTCAATAGAGACTCACTTTAAGGAGGAGTGAAAACAGTAATTTCACAAAACAAGCCCCTCAAGCAAAGTATCACTCGTATGTATGTATATATAGCCCCTCGGGCAAGCCTCTCAGGCACTCATGACTCAACTCTCATCAATCAGCACTCACACTCAACACTCACGCTCAACAGGTACCTTATAATAGCCGCTGCGACATGCAGCCCGATCCATATATTGCTGTGGCGTGCAACCCGATCCATATATATAGTCGACTGCACTCAATGGGGGTGTGCAGACCGCGGAGGGGCTCCTACAGCCCAAGCGCTATATCGCTGCGGCGTGCAGCCCGATCCATATATATAGTCGACTGCGCTCACTGGGGGTGTGTAGACCACGGAGGGGCTCCTACAGCCCAAGCGCTATATCGCTGCGGCGTGCAGCCCGATCCATATATCGTTGTGGCGTGTAGNCACACACACACACACACACACACACATATATATATATATATATATATATATATATATATATATTGCCGCGACATGCAGCCCGATCCATAAATATATCACAACCAGGCCCTCGGTCTCTCTCAATCATTAACCTTACAATCAGACCCTCGGTCTATCTCTGTCATTAACCTCACAATCAGGCCTTCGGCCTCTCTCAGCCATCAACCTCACAAGCCACTCGCACTATCAGTAAAACAGGGCGTTCAGCTCAAAATATCATTTATAGTATCAAAATTGAGTAAATAAGGCTGAGTTAGGGAATCAGTAAAATACAGCATGATTGAGCACAAGTATTAAGTCAAAACAGTAAGGAATAGTAGTTAAGAAGCCCCATAAGGGTCCAAAACAGTTGGCACGAGTCCCAAATATGGCATTCCGCCCAAAACATAGCTATACCTTCCAAAACACAATGATATCAAACAGTTTTTAATCACATACGCGACTTAACAGTCGTACGGGACGGACCAAGTCACAATTTCCAACGGTGCACAACCCCACACTTGTCATCTAGCGTGTGTGTCACCTCGAAGTAGCATAACGATGTGAAATCTGGGGTTTCATACCCTTAGGACAACATTTACAATCATTACTTACCTTGAACCGGATGAAAATCAACTCCGCAATGCCCTTGCCGCTCAACTCGGCCACAACTCGCCTCGAATCTATCCAAAATCAGAATCATAATATCAATATACGCTAAGGGGACAAACCCCACGCGAAAATAATCAAATTACATCAAAAATCCTGAAATTGTCCACATCTCGGAATCCGATAAAAATCACATCAATAGAATCTTCACCCTTCCACGAGTCTATACATACCGAGATCATCAAAATCGGACCTCAAATGGCCCCTTAAATCCCCAATTTAACTCTCCAATTTCAAGCCCTAATTTTCTAACTCTTTCTCTAATTTTTCCCACTAATTTTCATGATTAAACAATGAAATAATGACCATAAACACAAGATACAAAGCCCAAGTAGCTTACCTCTCTATCAACACTTGATTCCCTCTTGAAATCACTGCTTGGAGCTCCAAAATCACACAAAAATGATGAACAAATGACTGAAAATCGCGAAGGGGCATTTTTATACATTTTGTCCAGCACTTTTGCACCTGCGATCCCATAAGCGCACCTGCGCTTCCGCTTCTGCGGATTTCACTTATCTCACTAGGCCTCGCATCTGCGGTCGCCTCACTACTCCTGCGGTATCGCAGATGCGGTTACCAAGCCGCACTTGCAGTCCTCCATGCACCTGTACTTCTCTTCCGCTCCTGCGGAGCTCGCACCTGTGGTCCTCAATCTGCAGGTGCAGATATGATAGAAGTAACAACATCAGCTGAAATTTCTCAAGTTCAACCTTTCCGAAAACTATCTGAAATTATCCTGAGGCCCTCGGGACCTTAACCAAAAATACAAACAAGTCACATATCACCATTCGAACTTATACCAATCTTCGGACACTCAAAACAACATCGAATCATCAAAACACCCTCGGATTCAAGCCTAAGGATTCCAAAACTTCCAAATTCCGTATTTGATCAAAAAGTCTACCAAACCTCATCCGAATGACTTAAAATTTTGCACACACATCATAAATGACACAACGGACCTACCACCACTTTCGGAATTCCATTCTGACCATGATATTAAAATTTCCACTGCCGACCGGAAAATGCCGAATTCCTAATTTCGCCAATTCAAGCCTAAATCTACCACGGACCTCCAAAATACATTTCGAACACGCTCTTAAATCCAAAATCACCTAACAAAGCTAGCTAAATTATAAAAGTTCAAATCCGAGATCGAATATTAAAAAGTCAAAGCTTGGTCAAACCTTTCAAATTTAAAGCTTCAAACTGAGAACTATTCTTTCAAATCCATTTCGATTACCCTGATAACCAAAACCGATGAGTTACATCAGTCGCAATACATCATACGGGGCTAGTCGTACCCGAGAACTGACGAGCGAAGAGCAAATGCTCAAAATGACCGGTCGAGTCGTTACACCGCAGATACGATCAGATATTTGCAAAAGCGAAGCACTAGCCCACCAGCTATGTATCAAAAATGTGATCATTTTATAGTTAAAGCGAGTTCGTAAATGCAAGATTTGCAGACCTGTAGCACTAGCAGTTTGCACCAGCAATCCTAAAACCAACCAAACTCATCTAATACTCACCCGAAACTCTCTCGAGCCCCTTGGGCTCCAAAACGAAAATGCACAGAAGTGTAATAATATTATACAAACTTTATCGCTACCTTAATTCATCAAAATGATATCAAATAACAAGAATCGATCATCAAAACTTTAAAAAAATCAAACAATTTCACACATAATGCACCGAAACGCGTTCGGGTCACTCAAGACCCTAATCAAACGTGTGTACAAGTCCAAAAATATCATATGAACCTACCGAAATTGTCAAAACACTGATCTGAGGTCGTTTACCTATAATGTTGACCATGTTCATTTTTAGCCTCATTTTAAGACAAAAATTATATTTTCTTCAAAATTTCACATAAAAAGCTTTTTAAAAAGAGGCTCAGACCACGCACCTAAATTAATAAATATTAAATAAAGCTATGAGAGGTGTCGAAATACAAAATTAGTGCTAGTACTCAAAACAACCTATTGATCCATCACATTCTCCACCTCTAAAAGATACGTTCATCCTCGAACGAACATAGAAAAGTACCTGGATTGGTAAAAGGGTGGGGGTATCTACTCCGCATAACGGAAATCCATAACACAAGCATGTAACATGTCCTCCAAGATTTGAATAGTGTGCTCAGATTGTTTGTCTGTCTGAGCATGAAAAACTATACTCAGCTCGACCCGCGTGCCCAACTCACACTATGCTCCCCAAAATGCAATGTGAGCTACGTGCCTCGGTCAGTATTGATGGAAATAGGCACGCCGTGTAGGCAAATAATCTTCTGGATGTAAATCTGAGCCAAACGCTCTGAAGAATAGGATGTCATCACTGAAATAAAGTATACAGACTTAGTCAACCGGTCCACAATGACCTAGACTACGTCATATTTCCTCATAGTTCGTGGTAAGCCTACCAGAAAATTCATAGTAATGTGCTTCCACTTCCAGTCCGGTATCTCCAATCTCTGAGTCAATCCACCAGGTTTCTAATGCTCATACTTCACCTATTGATAATTCAAACACCGCGAGACATAAGCAACGATATCTTTCTTTGTTCTTCGCCCCCAATAGTGTTGTTTCAAGTCACGGTACATCTTTATGACCCCTGGGTGAATGGAATATCGTGAACTGTGAGCCTCCTCAAGGATCAAATCTATCAACCCATCAACATTCGTAACATAAATACGGTATTGAATCCGTAAAACACCATAATCACCAAGAACAACTTCCTTGGCACCACCCCACTGCATTATATCTGTCACACCTCCTTTTACACCCCGAGGGTAGTACAAGGGTGTTTTTCCAATTTAACTAACATTATTCGAAATGAGATTATTTATTTATTTTTATCAGAGTCGCCACTTGGAATAAATTATGGTGTCACAAATCACCGGTTTATTTTAAATCCCAAATCGAGGAAATTTCGACTTTTCCTTTTGAAGTCTGTGAACCAGAAATTCTAGATAAGGAATTCTGTTAACCCGGGAGAAGGTGTTAGGTATTCCCGAGTTTCGTGGTTCTAGCACGGTCGCTTAGCAATTTATACTTAGCTTAATTGTCTAATTACTTATTTTAGGACCTATGTGCATTTATCTTTTTAGCGCTTTTAAATCACTTGAATTATTCGTAATTAAAGAATTGAGTTACGCGTACGTATACTCTTTTCTTTTGGCGCGTCAAAATCATGCCACGCGAACGTGTCCATAATTAATAACGCTTTGTTTATTATTATTATTATTAAAAATATCTATGCTAATTTCGTACGATAGCTACAAGGGAATAATGAGTGCGATGGTATTTGGTTAAGGGGTGATAATGTTTATTTAATTAAATATAATTGGGCCAACGTACGAATATTTATTCAATAGAAATGGGCTTAACAACATTTCAGCTTAATGGACCAATTCGTTTATTCACTAATCTTGACCCTGAAACTCCACGTAGTTCCCAAATCCTTTTGCCTCTCTATTCTTAACTATCAAATTATTCTTTGAGAATTAAGATGGATCTAAACACATGGAGAGTTTTTAAACATTAAAATTATATAGAATAAAGGCAACATATAAAATAGAATAAAAAATTAGTCTAACTAACATATTCTCAAACAAACCAAACAAAAATATGACAGAAAAGAAAAACAACACCTAGAAATAGGAAGAAAAAAAAACGTAAGAAAAGTAGATCAATAAAGGAGAAGAAGAACTAACTTTTCAAATTATCAAAGACCTTCCAACTGGCTTACAAGAGGAACAAAGCGATGAAATTGAATCAAACAGACCTGTTCACTCGGAGACCTCGAACGGAGCATCGAAAACTCGCCGCGACCTCGACTGAAAGCTTTACTATTTCGATCGAGTTTGGATGGTGGTTGAGCGCTAAAATTTCAGGTGTTTGGCCTGTTTGGAGCTGATTTTCAGCTGGTTTGTGGCTCGTTTGAGGGCTGGTTTGGGTGGCTTTAGATGAAGGAGAAGGGGACTGGTTTTGGGGTGTTTGAGGGCAACGTTTTCGTGCTGCTTTTGTTGGTCTTGCAGGGCTGTTTTCAGCTGAGTTTGGATGGATTTTAGGCTTGGTTGCCGGCTGATTTTGAGGTATTTCGGGGCTGTTTCGGGGTCGATTTTTCAGCTGGTTTTTGACAGCTTCTTAAGGTCGTTTTTGGCTAAAAATGAAGTTGTCTTCTAACTTGTTTTCATGGTGCTTAAGGGCTGGATTTCATGTGGGTTCTAAAGCTTTTAGAGCTACTTTTTACATGGGGAAGAAAGGTCTTGAGCTGCTGTTATGAGAAAGAAAAGCCAGCCATAGAAAGGCCAAATTCCGTTGTTCCTGTGCGTTTTTCTTAGGTGTTCTCCTTTCTGGGTTCTGACAATTGGCAGGGTGTATTTTGGTTCTATAATTTTTCCAAGTTTTTTGGGAAGAAGATAGAGCTCTAGTGGTTGATTGTGTGTATTAGGCGTGTTTCGTGTAGGTGTATTTTAGGATAAGGTACTATTATATAGGGGTTGGGATTAGGTTAGGGGTATGGGCCTAGGAATTATAGGCTAGGAAATTAGGCCAAAGACTAGAAAAATGGACTATAAGACTTATAAAGACGGGATAAACCAACCTAAAACTAATTTATTCTTCTAAAATTATGTACAATTATAATATAAAAATAGAAAACTAATTTTAATTAATTGAACTAAACTATTAAACATAAAACTATTTTTGTGTTTTCAAGATTATATAAAAATAAAGATAAGGTACTATTTTTGTATATTTTTTTATTTAAATTTATGAAAGATACGTAAACTAAATTTTTTTGTAATTTTTATTTCATTTTTTTTGTGACGAAATAAAGTAAAAAAGTCAAAATTAGCTGAAATAGCGATATTAGGCTTAAACTAAATATTTACATGCTAAAATGGGTGAAAGTTCGGGGACGGTCAAAAATCACATGTCTACAACTGCCCCTCTTTGACTGGAAATGTGAAGCGTTTTCGGAAAAAGAACGACTAGACAGGTTTTTTGACCCGACTCTTATTTAGGGAGATCAAAACTAAGGGAAAAAAAAAGAATGTGACCGAGCCGTGGTATCTGAGCTGCCTACATATCCTTGGCTATAAAGGAATCAGGTCACGTGTAGTTCAGAAGTGAATGAGGTGATAGAGTATACAGAGGTGGAGAGCCGATTGAGGTGCCGTCGAGGTTCCGGTCCGTAGTCCCGTTATTACATCAAAATCAAAAATGAAAAAGACTAACTAAGCATATCAGCTATGAGTTACAAGATTCCTAATTGTGAGTCTTTTGAAGCTTGATCTTGAGTCTTGGTTGGTTCTTCATGCGGACTCTGATCTGAATCTTGATGCTTGTTAGTTGCAGGTGTTGGTTCAATCTTTTTCAGTTTTCAAATCAAGACGGGACATGCAGAGCTTGTGACCTCAGTCATGTCTTGAGCATCTCACATCTTTCATTAACTTTTGCATTTGGATTCACTTCTTGTCTTACTTTTGTTTTTTTCTTCTTTTATTTTGGATTGTGACTCACTTCTGTTGATCATCTTGGACTGCTGACTCGCATTCTTGACGCGAGCTTCTTTTGTTGCTGACCTGAATTGCATTCTGAATTGAATTCTCTTATTTTCCAGGCGGGCGCCTGATTGCTGAACTTGAACCGTCTTCTCTTGTTACTTGACACTGTTTTCCCTTGCACCTTGAACTATTTTCCCTTGAAACTTGAATTGTTTTCCTTCGAAACTGTTTTCCCTTGAAACTTGAGTTGTCTTCCTTCGAAACTGCTTTCCCTTGAAACTTGAGTTGTCTTCCTTCGAAACTGCTTTCCCTTGAAACTTGAGTTGTCTTCCCTTGTTCTATAGGTGGGCGCCTGATTGCTGAACTTGACCTGTCTTCCTTCGAAACTTGAACCGTTTTTCCTTGTTCTCTAGGTGGGCGCCTGATTGCTGAAACTTTCTATGTTCCCTTGTTTTCCATGTGGATACCTGCAATCAAAACCAACAAAACAAACGAAATTTGCTGCCCCAGTTTGCACTAGGAAGATTTGTGAGTTGTTAGCAATATTGTAAACCACTTATATTATTGATGCAATGATGAGTAAACTAAAGACTAGACTGGGATGTACGTCTCCTAAATGTGATTGAGCTTCGAAAAATAATAAACTAAGCTTGACTAAAGTAAAGACTGACCCTATTCTCCAGGCGGGGCCCCTGATTTCAAGAAAACTAAACGTTGATAACTTAAGAAAACTAAAAATTAACCCTTTTTTTCAAATCCAGACTTCCTTTTTTTTTTTTCAAAATATCCTAGGAGAAAATCCGTCAGACTAGGTTTTCTATCTTAGGAGAAAGATTCATCACACTAAGACGTTAATCCTAGGAGAGAATTCATCAGACTAGGTTTTCTATCTTAGGAGAAAAATTCATCAGACTACGATTTTGATCCTAGGAGAAAGTTCATCAGACTAGGTCTTCTTTTTGTTATCTTAGGAGAAAGATTCATCGGACTAAGATTTTGATCCTAGGAGAAAGTTCCTCAGACTAGGTCCTCTTTTGTTATCTTAGGAGAAAGATTCATTAGACTAAGATTTTGATCCTAGGAGAAAGTTCATCAGACTAGGTCCTCTTTTGTTATCTTAGGAGAAAAATTCATCAGACTAAGACATTTATCCTAGGAGAAAAGTTCATCAGACTAAGATTTTATTGGGAGGAAAATCTATCAGACTAGGACTTTTTATCCCATGAGGCAAAATGTGACGACCAAATGACAAAATTTTATGCGCATGAGCAAGATAGAAAAAGGCAAAAATTTGAGAAACTTCCCTTTGTCGGCTCTTCTCTTCCTTTCATTTTCATTTTTTTCTTTTTTTCCCCTTTTTCTTTCTTTTTCTCTTTTCTTTTCCCTTCTTTTTTCTTCTCTTTTTTTTGAACCACATTCCTTGCACTGCTTTGTTCCTGTTTCATACAAAGAAAAATTTATCAGTTTTGAAAATGGTGGTTGGTTTGTGGCCTTGAGTCTTGGGCGGCTTGGCTTTTGCTCAATCAGCTCAAGTTGGTCTCAAGAGACTTTTGCTCTGCATTAACCCTGATTGTTTTACACTCGGTACCATTTGTATTTCTGGCTCAATCAGCCTTATCCCAACTGAAGATCCTTTCTTAGATGACCTTTTCTGATATCTTGAATAACTTCCAGCTTTTGAGCAATTTGTCTGTAAGAGAGAATCACAAGCCAAGCAGGCTGACAAGAGTCCTTTGGGGAAGCCTTTGCATGAATCCTCAAGGCATGTTGACATTAAGAACTGAGTGTGCTGGCCAAATTTACTTTGTACAACTGAAAAGCTGGTAGTAGATTTTAAAATCGTTTCTTGCTTGTTTTGAGAAGGACTGACTCAGGGTGAAGGACACAATGACGCAAAGAAACAAATATTAACAAGAAATGCCCCTGTCGGAAGTACAGAAGGAAGAACTTTTTTTCTTTTTTTTTTTCAATAACTAGCCTTAATGATCATGACATGCATTTTGGACTCAACAGCCTGATCTATCAAACTAATCCAATCTTCCCTTTTACCATTCTTATGATCTTTGAAGTCGGACCTATCCGTGCCAATCCTTTGCATCAGCTTCACGACTCACTTTCGACTAATGGTGCCCCGAGGAACTTTCACCAACAAGCCTCTCTCATTTATTCATCTCTACTTACCGTCGCCTTACTGTGCCCGTGAGGGTTTTCACTAGTAAGACTCTCTTATTTTTCTTTTCCTTTTTCTTTTGCTTTTTGTGAGTAAACTTGACAGTGTTATACGTCGTGTGACAACCGTTGCTCATTGAATGCTTCTCTTGGTATTCTTGAAGGCATATCAGAGGTCTTTATTTGCAAGGTTTTTGGATAGGGTTGGACGAAAGGCCGACATGAGGCTCAAAACAGACTAAAGATGACGGGGTTGTATACTTACAACTTTTGGAATCGACTCTTTTAAAAATGAAATAAAATCTTTGCCCCAATTTCAGCTATTTGAGATTTTTTTTAATTTTTTTTTCTAAATTCTTATTTGGTTTGACCGAACTGTGAGGCTGCCTACGTATTCCTTTTTTTAAAGGAATCAGGTCGAACGTAGTTCAAACATCTGACCTAAACTATTTTTCATCTTTCTTTCTTTTTATCTTTTCCTTTTTTCTTTTTTTCTTCTCTTTTTTTTCCTTTTATTTTTTTTTGTTTGCCCCAGCTTCTATTTTTGAGGGCATGGACCTTTGACAATTCTTTTATTTTTTTGAACTTTCTAAGAATTGCCCCAGTTTGTACTCTTGGGACATGGATTTTTTCTCTTTTTTTTTGACTCTAAACTTGATTCCAAAAAAGGGTAGTCAAAGAAAAATAACACAGACTCAAAAGGGGTAGCAAAGGATATAAAGTATTTGGGTAGCAGAAAAAGGGCCTCCCAACCTCAAGAACGTCAAGCATGACATCTTTTCGCGATCACAACATTGACGAACATGTCTGTCTTCTTAGTGTGCCGTGGTCACAAGACATCTTTTCACCCCTTAGTGACAAACTTTCCAACAAACATCAATTGATTAAACATCCTCAAGCCCGATCTTCACAATGATTTGAAGGTGAATTTTACTCGACCTTAGTTCCAAAGTATTCCAACTCTTTATTCATCCTCAAAAATATTTTTTTTAGTTATCGAATTCCAGATTAAATCAGTTCCTAAGATCTAGCAAAAATTCCGCATGTTGTCATGTCATTAAAACTAGCGGGAAAAGAACTAAGCATGGAATGACACAAAAGGACAAACTATATTTCATTGAGTA